GCGTCGGTGGAATTGCTAAAACGACTTCTGCAAATTTTTTTATTATTCCAGTACAGTAAAGTATCACATGACAATTTTAGTCGTGGTTCCTTTAAAAATTCTTCCAGTTTATTTTCAATTGAACAATGGATCGTACTTTTTCTCGACTGTGTTAGAGAACGAGTGACTTCTGCACTTTTCAGAAATCTTTCAAATTCATCTTCATCAGAAGCATCATTGGATGTATTTTTCGGAGTATGACTGTTTTCTTCAATCGACGTATGTATCTGTGTTCTCCATACGAATTTGCTGTCTAATGCTCCTCTAAATGCTGTTTGTAAAGATAGGTTTTTGTTTTCTTGGAATATTAGGTTCTCAGAAAGAGATTAACTAGAAGATTAACTAGATTGCTAGAAACAATAAGCAGGGCGATTGCTTCATAAACAACCGAAATACAAAGCCATACAGTTAGTCATACTGTAATGTCCGAATATTTTTGGGAGTCACTGTACATACGTAGAACCGAACTATAACCGATACAGAACCAAAAAATATCAGTTGCAGAATTGTAGAACCGATACGGAATTAATACATTGTGGGTTTTGAAGAACCGAAACCGAAACCGATACAAGAACCGAAAAATAACAGTAATAGAACCGATACGTACCCGATATAATATCGGTTCTGCAAAACCGAAACCGATATATCTATAACAGTTATAACATTTTTTCGGTTCTCATAACTGTTTCAAGAACCGGAATCGATATCATAACTGTTTTCAACCCCTAGTAAGAACCCACTAACGCGCCTATCCCCATTTCCGTCCCTCTAACCTAGCACTTAAGTTACCCCCTTACAGCCCTCAAGAGCATAGATTTTGTAAATGTTTTCCTACTCATGAAATCGCAAGTCTAAAACCCAAAACTTACGTCCAAATTGTACATATAGTCGGGGCCAGGATATAGCGAGGTCGTAAAATCGGTTAGGCGTCAAAGTAAACATGTTTTAGCTGCCGGGACCCCGAAATTGACAGAAATACGAGCAGATAAGTACTTGAAACCATGGTCAGGACCGTACAAAGAATTCTTGTATCCAGCGAAAGTCAAACTGATTCTAATATATTTACTGAAAACTGCATGCAGCTAGGACAAATTAGGGTTTCTCCCTCTGGGGGAAGCCGCTTTTGGAAGTACGGTTACAAGTAAAGGTCTTATTGAGGTCTTTAACATCTTCATTTACCTGCTCGTGTTATATACAGATAGAAAATGCAAAAGGATTGTGTAGCTTTAATATTAACATATTTTCCATTTGTAAATGAAATACCATTTTCTACTTGAAGTACCAAATCATATGCTACCATTCGTTTATTGTTGGAACCCTCAAACAGACTGCAACACACGGCCTTGAGTGCCGCAACATCAATCGATGCCGATTCTTGAGAGTTTAATTTACGACCTCGCTACATCGTGGCCCCGGTTACAAGATGCAGATAGAAAATGCAAAAGGATTGTGTAGCTTTAATATTAACATATTTTCCATTTGTAAATGAAATACCATTTTCTACTTGAAGTACCAAATCATATGCTACCATTCGTTTATTGTTGGAACCCTCAAACAGACTGCAACACACGGCCTTGAGTGCCGCAACATCAATCGATGCCGATTCTTGAGAGTTTAATTTACGACCTCGCTATATCGTGGCCCCAACTATAAACCCCCACAGCAACACGTCAGACGTCCCCGGACAGGAAACGTAGCTTAACCCCCCGCCGCCATATTGTAACTGTAACTATGTACAATATTTGCAACCTCATGACAATAAAGAACTTAAATGGTTAAAAAGGTTGTTGGCGCAGTGGTTAAGCGTATGACTGCGGAACCGCTGTAAACTTTTTGGTCATGCGTTCGCGCCTCGCTAGACTTACCTTCGTTAGACGTTTAACTACTGCGCCAACTACTGCGAAAAAGTTTGAGGATAATAGTTATGTTAAGATGCTGCTATTAAAAAAATGTAAAAATAGTCGCTTTAATATTTCAAAAGAAATGTATATTTCTTTGCGTTTTTCGTTTTTTACAACTAGATTTTGCAACGACAGAATCGGAAAAAATTCCCTAACATGTACCTTTATATACAGGATGTTCACGCTATTACTAGCCAGCATTTTTCTCGTAAATGGTAAGTACTAAAAAACATGAAACAGGAAAAAGTTTTGCAGTGTTCTATGATCAACATAATAGCGTATATCACTTTTTTATATTTTCAATATTTTTCGAGAAACGAAGGTGACCTTTAATTCTTTAAATAACACGTACTAATGTGTTTACAAGTACTCTTTCTTGACAAGGCTACAGATGTTTAATATGACTTTCTTGTGCCTGAATTTATATTTCAGCTTTACGAATTATATTTTTGATAGCTTCTACTAATGTTGTCCGAGATATTATTGCTCATGCTTGCGTTATTTTGCTTTTTAAATCGTTTACATCTCTGGGCGATGTATCGTAAACGTTTATGAAGTTTATGAAGTAATTCTGAAATTGTCTTGTAATTGTAGAAGTAGAAGCAAACCACTCCGACAGTGAATGACAAGAAAAAATCAGTTACATTTAACGAGTTAAGTCATACCAACAAATATTTATAAACATATTGATACGTAATATTCGAAATATTTCTTTAATATCTGACCTTGTATGACTCTAGCAATCATTGTACAGCACATAGATGAATTCGTCTTAATACACGCTTTCATATGACATAAAAAAAATATGCAGTAATCCATTTAAAAAATTAAAGGTTAGCTTCATTTCTCGAAAAATGTGGCAAATATAAAAAATTTCTTCTTCTCTATCTAATACTCGTTGACAAAAGTGAATTGAATATTATGAAAATTGTTTGAAATAAAAGTGTTTAAATTTCAACGAGGTTATGTTTCTCCAAAATGGACTCCTAGAATGATGTAATGTAATGTGTTATCTACTACTAGATAAAGAAAATAGAGTAAAAACGGATAATCCGAATTTTCCCTGTTATTACGGTCAAGATAGGGGGTTGAAACTTGGTGTCAAATGTTTTCTTTCGGTAAGCTATCGAATGGTCCATCGCAAGTCCAATTTGGTTTAAGAGCACTTTTTGACCCGAAGCGGCTGAAAAGGCAGGGAACGCCGCAGCTTAAGTAGAACTAAAGAGGCTCGGACAACAATAATTTGAACAATAAGAATTTTTTTAGGAAGGTAAAAGTTTGCAAAATGTGTCTAGAATAGTAGACTAGCAAAAAACAGCTGTAAGTTTCTAAAAATTTTTACTTTTCAATACCTAAAACTTTAAACGCATTTTTCTCAAAACGACTCTCTTCAAATTGCCGGGCAGTACATATAACGTAAACCATATTCAATCGTTTGACTTGTCTCGGTACGAGTATGTATCTAGATCAATACATTCCGCTTTGGATGAACCTATATTTTTAATGATATTATTAATTTCAATTACTTTTATTGCATGATTAAGACGAAAATTTTTCGTTAAAATCGCAACTTTTTGTTCAAAGTGCCGCCATTTCCTTAATTTTGCATCTTTTTGGCATATTTAGACTCATTCATAGCGTAATTTTATAAAGAATAGTAAACTATCTGAATTTTTTGTTTTAGGTGAATTTAACGGACACTAAACTGCACGCCAATTGATTACGTCGACGCCGAGACAATAGCGAAATACCTCTGAATTATTTTACACGAAAAAAAATATTTTATACTTTTTTATATATTAAATAACCGAAAGTTCTCACTAGTCCTCATAAAGGCTCCTAATTGTATAATAACTTCTCATGTGAGTCCTTCCAGTCCCTCCCGCGTCTAAGGCACGGGTCTCCTCCTAGGTAGGTAGGGGTAGCCTTACTGACAAGTCCACTAGGAGGCCCAGGACGAAACGCCCTTTCCTTTTCCGCCTATCCTCACTCTATCCGTTTCAAATTTACAAAAATTACATTTTTTG